AACTAACATTGTGATAAGAGAATATTAGATTATATAAAAATATTTTTTTTTATCAGTTTAACAAAAACATGTCAAACAAAATCATTTATAAAATTATTTGAAATCTAAGTATATATCATTTGAGTAGTATACATATATCAGAGATTTGACGTTATGAATTACTTCTGTTTCTATTATAGTAAATTGAATTTAATTAATATTAATTTTCAACTGTGTTAAGGTAATGATCAAATATATCTAATATATAGTACAAATGTATATCTACATTATTGAATTAATTAGTACGATTAATAGTCAAGATAAAGATTCTGATGAAAAATTATACATTTACGTCATGATCAAAGATAATTACAGAATGAAGATGATCAACTAATCATAAAAATAAACAATTAATTTAATGTCAGTGAATTAACGTTCTGAATTAGTTTCGTTTCTATTATAGTAAATTGAATCGAAATTATAAATCAATATTAATTTGCAACTGTGTTAAGGTACTGAACAAGTAGAAATGTATATCTACATTATTGAATTCATTAATATGATTAATAGTCAAGATTTCTGATGAAAAAATATACATTTACGTCTTGATCAAAGATTAATACTGAATGAAGATGATCAACTAATCAACGAAGTTAAGTATAGATTGGCCTGTGACATTTTTAAAGCAGCTCAAAAGAACTTGACCTAACGATTAATGGCAGTAATTACTTTAAAAGCACTTTATAGCCATCGGATTCAAGTTTGACAACTTCTGAAGCTGTGAGGAGCTTTTGATATTTTACTTAGATTATTAGATTTTTACTTATCATGGACGAATACAAGTGAATGTGAAAAGTCACAATATACGCGGTTGTTCGTTTTAATTTTTATTACTTCAAGTTCATTAATTTTGTTCATAATCATAATAGTAATTTATTTGAAAAAAAAATGACGGTTACATCAAGTACTAAATCTGCTTATATCATAGTACCGATACAGATATATACAGAGTATAAATCATCTGTCCGTCCCGAATTTATACTGATATAGGTGCTAATGAAGAAAAGTTGCCCAAACAACTGAACGTCAACCAGTAATATTTTCCTATATAACGCTATAGGGAGTCACCCACGAAAATTAAAACAATGATATCAGCTCTTCTCAGCTAGAAAGTTCTCCGAACTGACTGTAAATTTGTCATATCATTAGAGTCTATAATAGAATGAATAAAGATATCCAAAATATCTTTATTCATGTAGATTAGGTAGGTTAAGTTTTGATTTTTGATCTATAACTACTAATAGCCAGCAAGGTATATGGCACAACTATGTAGACAGAGATCCAATTTTGACTGCCATATTTTATAACATTGGACGTATTCAGAGTTTCATTATGTACATGAATAATGTACAGTAATTTGCGTTACATCCTTTGTCCCGTCTTAAACTAATTACTGTGAAGGTGTCCTTATTGCTCGTAGCTTGAGTACACATCAATATATTATATTGAAACATGTCACTCATGTGGCTATTCATTTGTCTCATACAAGTTCTTAGTAGATAATTCATGAATAGCGTTCTAGTTGATATTATATTTCAAATACTTCTGCACTTGAATTACTCGAATGATCTTCTCTTAATAACTATCTTTTTTTTTAAGTAACTGGAAGAGCAAACCTGCTGGTATGCTCTTCCAGTTAGTTAAGCCCACTTGATCGTAAACATTAAATATAACTAGAAACATAAACAACACCATGGACATGTTTTATATAGATATATAAAAATTATAATAATGCTTTATTTGTGCAACCATAAGATTACAACATTAAAAAGGAGCAGTAATAATAATACTTGAAGTTAGTTAGCTAGGTAATATACATTGTAGTAATAAATATAACACAAATGCGATTAATTTATAATTCTAGATGGTAGTGATAGTTGGTAGTTTCAATCAGTAGTCCAGTACTCATACGACAAACTCTGTTATTTGTCATACTTCTCCGAAATGGCTTAACCATATATAGTATACATATAAAATTTAAACAAAATCTGGTTAAATTTTATATGTATACTCCATAAGTCACTTTTCACTTGAGGGTGAAAAATATATAATAACTAACTATCTATTTTTTACCAGTAGTATAAGTGAAATGGCACACACATATTTTTTTTTTTGGAAAAATAAAAAAAACATATGATTCTAAATTGTCACCCTTCTACCACCAACCCTTGTTCTTTTATAGCATTATTAATTTATATGCCAAAACATCATTTAACGGCTCAGATAGTTGACATTTAGAAAAGAATATACCTATAAGATATATCAATGTAGGTGTTGAAATAAGATTTCGATTTGCGAGTTGAGATTCTTGCCGACGTTAAAATAAAAGTTACTTTCAGAAAGCTTATTTATTCGTGACAAATTGAATAAATTGATGTATCACATAAAATGTTGCCGTCAGTTTTAGGTAAATACTCCTTAGAGTTTAAATAAATATATTGTTATATGGCTTATTTACGTACTATATAAGATTATGGTATTGCTTCTGCATCTACTATTAACAAAACAATTAAAAAATAAAATATGTAATAAGTAATAAGTAAGTAAACAAGTAAGCATAATACATATGTAATAAGAACCATTGTCCTTTGTTAATAGTAGATGCACAAGCAATACCATAATTATGTAACATAACAGAATATATTATATTCTGTTATGTTACATAGAATGTTCATATACTGTGAAAAGAAAGGCTTTAACATGATTTTTAAAAAATACTCTCATTGTGCGAAGAATATTGTCTAAATAATGATTTAAATAATTGTTTAAGGTGCAAACAATTTTGAAACATTTGAAGATTTCCAAAAATATCGGAAATATTGCCATTGATATCTCGTAAACCTCTCAAAAATTTTGAAGGTTTTAAATAAATTAAAGTATATTTTACCGAATATTATTCCAAAAACATGCAGTTCATAATTAATAAAGTATACACATAATCGTTATTACATTAAAAAGGATCTGTGGATTTATTTTTTAATTAAAAATTATGTGTTTCGCAATCCTGAAATAACCTAATTGTAAAGCAATAAATGTTCACACCGAGTGCCCACCACCCTCGGATCTGTCGCGCTCGAGTAACCTCCCCTTAATAATATCTTGTAATAAAAATGGATACGTCGCAATCTCTTATTAAGTTTAGTAGTTATTAGATATAATTATTTGTAATCTGATTAATATTACTAATGCGTATGTTTGTGAGTATGGATGGATGTTTGTTACTCTTTCACGCAGAAACTACTAAACAGATTTTGTTGAAATTTTACAGTGATATAGCTTGTATATCAGAATAACACAAGGCTAAATTTCATGGGGGTGAAACCGCGGGCGTAGCTAGTACTAATTTATATCGATTAATAGCTAATCGCCCCGGCTACGCACGGATGTACATGTATTATAAAAACCTTCCTAATAAAACCTTCCTCTTGAATCACTCTATCTATTAAAAAAACTGCTTCAAAATCCGTTGCGTAGTTTTAAAGATTTCAGCATACATAGGAACGGATAGATAGCGACAACGACTTTGTTTTATACTATATAATGATGTAATCAAATTGTCAAACCATCCAACAGATCATCTATGGTAAACAGTCAATCGCATATAACAGTACTACAGAGATCACGTATTATGTGACACCCGCGATCCAGGAGTTGCCATTCCAGAGGACCAAGATGTTATGCCTCTAATCTGGGAAACTCCCTGTCTAATCTGTACCCTACAACCGAAACATAGCTTACAAAGCAAGCTGCTGATATAGTGCTGAATAGGTGTTTCAGTTGAGTGTATAGTTCTACATAGTCTCCTTGTAAGTCAACACACTTCTCTCAGAAATTGATAGTTAGTAACGAGTGGAAATGTAAATCTTCACGCAGTTTCCCATAGAAACTACAGTTATTAATTCACAACATAGGTCGGGCATGACTTGAAGTTCATCCTATTATAGTCAAACATTTTTGCAGTTTCAGTTTGTGCAAGAGGGTGCACTATTTTATTATCACATAAGTAAAAAAACACTTCAGATTGTAGTCGTGAGAATGACTAATATTGCTACATAAAAATATTTTGGCAAATCAACTATAAAGTCCCAATTACAAAGTCGGTTTACCAAATATATATATTTTAGTTGCTGCAGTTCAGTATCACGCGTGCAATATGGACTGCCGCAATCCAACACCGCACCTGTTACACGAAAGCTGTAACTGAAATACAGTATGTAAATAAAAGTGCGTGTGCTGTAGTAATTAAGTTAATAAACCCGGGCCAAACTTCTAGAAACACTTTACTTTATTTTGAGAAGGGCCGTCGTGGTGACTCCCTCTATACCTGTGGAGGTAAGCAGTTACTGTGAGACCTTTACTCACTAAAAACTTCAGGATTTCTCTCACCAGGTGTCTATTATAGTAGTCGCGGAGGCGAGTCAACATTGGTCGGCAACTCCGACGGATGTTGGGTCCTCTAGGAAAACAAATTTACAGAGTTTAAAAATATTTAAAGAGTTTGATCGATTTTGTTGTTAATTCATTAAAATGCATTTTTTTTCTTTATTAATGAACATTATTTTATTAATACGTAGGTCTCCGCCGAGGTGGATCGAGGAACTGGTCAAAAGCGCTGGAAAGTATTGTTTGCGAGCAACGCAGGACTGATCGGGGTGGAGATTTTTGGGGAAGGCCTTTGTTCAGCAGTGGACGTCTTCCGGACTGAAATGATGATGATGAATATACATTTTGTCATTATATTTTATGAATATTGTTATTGTGTCGTATTGAATAAATTTCATTTCATTTAATTTGTTTATAGGGTACAGGGAGGTATACCCTTAACACTGTAGGATTCATTTACCTACAACAAAATTATAACAGATTAAAAAGTACAACTTTTGTATTTTGTTACAGAAATGTAACCCTGGCACATAATGGCGTCGCTACACATCGCGTGGCGGTACAGTCGGCTGCAAATATTCCTGTTGAAAGTAGACACCAAGACCTGAACATGACGAACCGAGCCAGTGAACTGGATTAAAATGGAGTTCGCCTCTATTTTCCCTACCAATGTGAGTACTGTTTTTTTATTTTAAATATTAATTCAGACTTTCATAAAAGGCTTTTCTTCAGAGCAATACCATATACCCGTAACGCTCTTCAGTTCTCACTAATATTTACTTTGAATGTCATTTTTCATATAACAATGGTGGCAAAATAAGCATACGGCCCATTTGATGGCAAACGGTTACCTGGTAGCTATGGACGCTAGAAAAACCAGGGGTGTCACGTGTGCGTTGCCGACTTCTTCTGAAATCATTTATACAAATCGGTTTTATTACAAATATATTTTGGTTCATGGACTTTTATACACAGCTATTATTTACCTACTTATTTCATGAGATGATGAATGTGTCTAAACATGTTTGACTGCCTCGGTGGTCTAGCGGTCTAGCACAATGCCTTACTTCTGATTTTCGATTCCTTTATTAGGTTCGATTTCTCGCACGGCACAAACATTCATGAATGTGATTATTTGTATCGGTCGGGGTATTTTCTATGTATAACATATGTATTTACGAAAAAAAATCTATGTATTTGTATCAGTTGTCTGGTACCCGTAACACAAGCTCTAGCTGGGTCTAGATGGCGCTGTGCGAATTGTCCTGGGATTATTATTATTATGTTTGAAGCGTGCTCATTGATAATTGTTGCTGACTGTACCTACAACCTAGTCTGGCCTTGCACGGTGGGTGGTGGCCTCAACGCATCTAAAACTTTTCGCCGACGGGGGCTGGTCGGTACGCATCGCCACTGAGGGCGATTAAAAATAAACACGATAAAAATGACTATCTCTGCGCATTGTATCTTGGCGCAGACCTATGTTGACAAATTTTATGTTTATCTGGATTAAATGAATTGAATGAATGACTGAATTCGTTATTGTCACATTTTTTTTATAATTGAATATACTGAATATTCATAATCCATATTGCATATTCTGCATTATACTTATTTATATAGACCCATAAAAGTATTTTCTATTTTACATGGCGTTTTTTTAGAATTTTTTTGTCACGCATAAGCATATTGTGAAATAACCTTCCAGCATTGGTATTTACGAACCGATACGATATTGAAACTTTCAAGAAAAGAGATTATTTTTCTTATAAGTATGTTGCATTTATTGGATTTCCCCGATATTACGAGGTGCTAATGGGCGGTGGTAGTCACTTACCATCAGGTGAACCGCAAGTTCGTTTGTCCCCTATGCTACAAAAAAATATGAATACATTATAAAAGTAATGTAAAGTTTATGAGTTCTTCACTGTATTCGACAAGACATGATGTATCATAGCATATTTTTACTTGTCTAATAATAACAATAAATAACCCAGGACAAATAACAATATTTGTATTATGGGTACTAAACAACTGATATAATACTTAGATTTTCTTGTAAATACATATAGAAAACACACAGACCGATACTAACAATAAAACTCATGAATACAAATATTTGCACCATGCGAGGAATTAAACCTGCGATCATTGGAAGTAAAGCGGTGTGCTAAACCGCTAGACCCCCGAGGCCAAATTCGCAAAGTAATTCGAATCGAAACAAACAAGAATAAACTTTCAGCACAAAACCGTTTAGGTGGATTCACGTTTCAATAATAACTTATATACCAGCACCATGTTATAATGCGTGAAGTATAAGTGCAGGTATTTTTCACTTTAATAACCTCCGTGACGTTATAATTTTCTACAGTTAATGTAAAAAAATAATCTTTCTGATTCTCTGATAGATTTTATTAAATACTAGTTGATGCCCGCGACTTCGTCAGCGTCATATTTGTTACTCCTGTGCTTAACGTTTTTAATAATTATTATTACAACATTAATATATCGTTTACTACTCGACTTTTGGGAAATATAGAAATAGAAATAGAAATAATCTTTATTCAAATGAACTCATTACAAGCACTTTTGAATAGTAATATTTTGATTCTATGTACATTCGGAATGCAGATTCATCACAAGAAGAATAAGCAAGAAGTGTTGCTCTTTCTGGGAAAGTCAGAATGTAGTGTTTAAATTTTCACAGGTCTGTAAAATTGATCTCGCCATCAGTATCAAAAATGTCAGTGTTTGTTAATAGATTCTGAAATATTGAACTGTGACAGATGGACGGATAAAGTCGTATTTTAAGGGGTCCACTTTTACAGAACTCTTTAAATTTTCAATAATATTCAGTATATACGAAGAATTTGATTAAACATTAATAGTTTATAGTAATAATAATAATCTCAAGACAATTCACACAGCGCTTATCCAGACCCAAGTTAAGCAAACTAAAGCTTGTGTTAAGGGTACTAGTACTATATGTATATATATAAAAACATACATATTAAACAAAAAAAAGGGGGTGTTTTCTGTGACAGATACAAACAATCATACTCATGAATACAAATGTTTGTGCCGTGCGAGGAATTGAACCCGCGACCATCGGAAATAAAGCGGTGTGCTAAACCGCTAGACCACCGAGGCCGTCAAATGTATGTATATAAGTACAAATATTAATTTACATACCATGTCTAAGGAATTTCATTAAAAATTACTAACTTCTAAGCACAAATGTATTTTTAATATTAGGACCTTTAAATTAGCTCTCATTCCTCAAACGAGGACATTCACTTTGAATTATTTTAAAGTTTCCTTGGTAGAGACACCTGTGGCCTCCACTCAGATTTAGGTAAGCATCTCATTACAGTAATCCTTATTTATCTTGTACCAGTTCTATCTATTATCTTTGTAGAGTAACATTTTGTAGGTTGCAGTCATACAATTTATGTAGTACAGACTACATATGAGATGTAGAAGCTAAAATTTGTAAAATAACAAATTGTAAACATTAGGCACGAGCTATATGGATTTTGTAAAAAATCAGTCTTACCTATATCAAACACCTTGCTTTGTAAGATGTGTATATCTAACTTATATCACCATAGGTTGCTTTGTAAGATGTGTTTCTGTTGAAGGGAAATTATAGCATAAAGCAGTAAAATGATAGATTTTTTAATTCATCCTTAATGAATGAATACGTATGACTTATATCACGGAAGTTCTATGATAACATGATGACATAGTGTCGTTCTTGTATGTAGATGATTAATAATCATCATTAGGTTTACCATTACCATTACATAAAAAATGAGTAAGTATTAATTTCTACTATAACTAAGTACGTACGTAATATTCATATTAATTATGTTGGTGCACATAGTATGACATAGTAGGTTTTACCTGCGGCTTTATTTGCTCTAATTAAACATCTTATCAGATTTAGTCATCTATATTAAATACTATGTGTATATCAAGTTTCACAGTGACGGGTCGAGCAATTGCGTGAATAGTTAAAAAATTCATATTTAGAATTTGTAAGGTTGTATCGCTTATTGTAGTGTATATTTCTTATATGTTCTACCTTGAAATATTTAATTACAATTCGATGAACTGATTGGTGCGGTAGTATGTTTGCGTGTTAAGTCTCAGCGCGTTTCCTTCATCAGTTGATTTTCCATGATTTGCTACTAATTTCTGACCTCGCTAAGTTTGATTAATACGGACAAACGGTGAATAAAACTATAATAAAAGTTTATATTTGTTAAAAGTATTCAATCTATTTATAGAAATTAAATAGAGCGTGTTTCTTTATTAATTACAAAAACTAATATAATTCCAAAATGTAAAATTTTCCTTTGTTCATAATCAAATCTACTGCAATAATATTCCATTAGGGCGTCCTCATCTTTTTCACGTTTGTTTTTAATTTCCTTAAGTAATCATTTAGGAATAGAGATTTTTTATGCTAATTATAGATATTACCATTATTATATTAACTGTAAATGGTACTTAGTCCTTCACTACTCGACCATCAAGACCTAAGTGTCCTCTCGAATGTATTCTCTCTCCGGTAGTCGCTCTTGCCCCACCACCAATATGACATGGGATGCCATAGACTAGCCACAGGCACAGGTATTCGTTCTAGAACAGTAGTCTGGAGAATATGGCGCTGCTATCTACACGGCGTAACTTAGTGGCGCCGTCTATCAACTTTCTTCCGATATTGGCAACAACCCACATTTTATTCCATTATTAAGGCAGTATTTATAGCAAATGACATGACATAGCATGACATCATTTAGTTATAATTATGTATTGTTAGAAACTTCTTCACGACTCGTCCGTCTGATACCGTCCTCGTCTGGTTCTGTATCGTCTTTTAACCGCCATCTTTTGCTCCCGAAACACCGGAACTGATAACAGAACTAATATTCTTACTAGTGCAATAACATAATTATTGTTCTTATTTAGAACGGAAATAACAACATAGATTTAGTCAACAGTTAATTCAGTTTTTAACAGTTTTTAGACATTTATATTCTCAAAAAATCAACTCTATTCGGTATAATCAACGCTTTGTAATTGGACTATTTTTTTAATATTATTTATGTATTTTCATATTTTTTGTATTTTTAATTGTTTTTTAAATATATTTATCAAAATCTTAATTATTGAATTTCAAAATATAAAAATATGTATATTTAACAATTTAAAATGCAATAAGTAAGAAAATTTACTTATATTTACCTATTTACTTTTTAAATAGTGTCTTTAATTTTTTTCTCTTGTTCATAATTTTTCTTCCAACGCGATTGTGTATATTTCCATTAACTGAACATTGCTGTTGAAACTTTACAAACGAAGTTCCGAGATGAAGTCTAAGTAAGTCGTAAACAAGACTTGTTTCCATCGATTTTCGATAAACATATTCAATGAATTTCACGCATGAATTATGTTGTAATGCGTATAATAATCAATAACTGCTATAACGTTTAACCATTATTTTATGTTTAACTGTATTTCTGTATTTACTTATATGTTATATTATACGATCATATGTATGCTATAATATATATACATATATACTAGCTGACCCGGCAGACGTTGTTTTACCACATAAATTAATATCGCTATTAAATAATAGGGGTCGATGTTAGAAGGGTGAAAATTTAGGGTAGTATGCATTTTTACCACATTATAAAAAAATAAAGTACAAACATTTTGTCCAAAACAAATATTAGGGGTGGAACACTCTTATCACTTAGGTGTATAAGAAATTGATAGTAGCCGATTCTCAAACCTACTGAATAAAATCTCATAAAAATCGATCAAGCCGTTTCGGAGGAGTATGTAACTAACACTGCGACACGAGAATTTTATATATCAGATATGACTACTTGTATTATAACTAACTGTTATATGTTGAGACTAGATGGCGTTGTCTGTTTAACCAGGATGTTTTTTCTATGAATAGGGCTGCATAGGTCATTTTATTAAAAATGTTAACTTATTCTTATACATATTGATTATTTCTTACATAATTGTAAATATTGACAAACGTAATAATGAGCATGAATAATTTTACGTTAAACTAGCTGTACTCGCGACTTTGTCCGCGTGGAATTTAACTTTATTTTTCTAAAATAACAGTAGCCTAAATTACTATTTATTACATCAGCTACCTGCCAATAAAAGTCCCGTCCCGCCCGTCAAAATCCAGCCATTTCAGATAGCCGGAACAAACAGAAAGACAGACAAAAATTGAAAAAAATGTTATTTTGGTGTATGTACCGTATTTATATTCCTATGGATGTAGTAAAAAACGGTTATTTCGATATTACAAACAGACACTTCAATTTTATTTATATGTATAGATAAAAGTTGGTAGGTTTACGAGGTTGCATTAGCCGTGGTCACGAGTTTACTTGTCGAAACATCGAGAGAGGTAAATACCTTTATTTACCATCAAATTATTCGTGTTAAGACCCGGTTAACATTATAAATAATGTAATAATGACCCATTAAAATTTATATAAGTCTAGCAAATTCCATTTTCCATTTGTCTATAAGCTAAATAATATACCATAGTACAAGTACTATGTGAATTAGTTTATTAATCAGTTCTCTCTTTATTTACCATTAAATAGACATTAAAAGGAAAAAAGTAATTCATTTTAGTTACTTGCCAGTTCTTCTCAATTTAATGTGTATACTGAATTCAGTTCTCTATACAGATTTAATTCGATGAGAAGAACTCGTAAGGTAGGAAAAAATATTAGTACAAAAACTTGACGTTCATAAGAGACTAAAATGTCCTACATAAGACCTGTGAGGCGATGATGCGGCACGATTGATAGGTGGTATTTGTTGATGGCTTCAGTAGATTACAGGGTTGTAGAAATGATAGATTTCGCTTACTATTTTGAATTTAATGGTGAATATATTAGTTGCAAATTATGGATGAGTTAACAAAATGTACGTTGCCACGATCGATTCTACTTTTGAAGTCTGTACGTTATGCGTAGAATTCAAATTGGATGGGTGTGCGCTCCAATCAGAACGCTCCTTTTCTGTTGCGTTTTATTGCTACGTTGCGTTTTGTACGCGACATAACTGACTTTACTACTAGTGTTACTGCTGACCCCTTTTAACTGTTTACACGAATTTTACATTAAAAATATTTACTTGCAGTTGGCGATAGAGTTGAATGAGACGACGGTGGAATACGGCGATGGTGAGGAACCGGATGCGGTGACGTTACTTTCCATACTACTTGTTGGTATGTACTCATTCAGAGATAAGAAACTACTTCTAACCGACTTCAAAAAAATATGATTAATAATATAATAATAAACTCTTTATTGTGCACATAGAAGAAATACAATAAGAAAAACAGTAAAACGATCGGTCTTATCGCTGTAAGCAATTTTTTACATACAACTTGGAAAATAGGACTATCGTAAAAAGAAGATGGCACAAGACACAATAATTATTAATAGAATAAATAGACATACAATTACACATGTAGGTATAATATATAAACTAAACTTAAACATATTAGAAGGTTTCAGAGATCAATAAAAGAGCTATAGAGAGAGATAAACGAGATCTTAGTCTATTTTTAAATATTTCATGAGATTGAGCAGATCGAGTGGAGAGTTCAAAAGAGGGGAGTAGGGAGTTACAGAAACGAATGACTTGGAAATAGCTTAGAAGTGAAAGAGTTAGAATAATATTTGAATTGTTGTAATAATGGCGGATGATTTTCAATTTAAAGGCTACTTCGGTTTTCTACTGTACTAGCCGAACCGGTAAAGTTTGTTGTGCCGTATAAATTATTTCCGGATCCCTTAACACCAAGACGTATAAAAACAAAGTGTCAACATCAAACTACGACCTCATCTTAGATTTACCTGTGTACGTCCACTGCAGGACAAAGGCCTCCCCGAAAGATCTCCACGACGATCGGTTCTTTCATATTAATAATATGAAAATTGTTGACAATATTCTAGAAAAAGTATATTTGTTTAAATATCAAATATTGGTAATACAATATTAGCTTACTCACAAAACTATGTAATATATACTTATTTTATATTATTACAAATTAAGCGAATTTTGTATAATGGATAGTATCTCACACAAAAACTAAACACATTTAACTCCCTTTGTTGTAAATGTTTATTTTATTACGTATCTTAATATACATTACATTACACAATTATATACCTACTGTATATAAAATTCTCGTGCCACAATGTTAGTTATCAGAAACGGCTTGACCGATTTTTATGAAATTTTATATGCATATTTAGTAGGTCTGAAAATCGACCACTATCTATTTTTCATACCTCTAAGTAATAATGGTTATACACATCTAACATTTATTTTTTGGACAATTTATATTTTTGTAATGTGGCTATAAAAATACATACAATCCTAAATGTTTACCAATCTCTATTTCTTAATATCGATACATATTTATAATTATAACTTATATGGCAATACAACGTTTGCGGGATCAGCTAGAATTAGATATAATACACATAGGAAAACATTTAAGAAGACGCAACTCGCCCGCAATTTTAGTACTAAAGGTACAGCAAATGAAATCTATTTGCACCCGTGACTCCGAATTTGATTACCTCCATTGGGTAATACCACGTAATACTATTGGGAGTTCGTCGGACGATGTCGAACCAATCCAATTTAGTGATTCCAATAGTATCATCGCATCATCGTTGCATATATAGTATAATAATATGAAACTGTATATGTATAACCCCAACCACGTGTTGTTTGCAGCTTCCGCACCATTCTTTTTATATTATTTTGATACCTCTTTATATATTTCACATTTTTACTTTGTTGTGAGCTCTCTTGGAATATACACGTACACTTAAATGCAGGATGAGTATACTATTAAAAAAACCAGATAATATATGTGTGCACGATTCACCTTCTTAGACCTTTATCATATTATTTATATATACTTAAAAGAAAAATGAAGTCTTAGAAAAATTGTTTCTATTGTTCGATTATTTATCAATTTTGAAATATATGTCTTTTACCATCAGCAATCGTAGATTCTCTTATAACTAAAATTAAAATATATACAGTTCTTAGAAACATTAGTCACTAAACATACATACTTTATTTATAGGTAGAGTTTATCGTAAAGTCTACACCAAGATGAAAGCCAGTGTTAATTATACTGATTATATTACAACTATTCCAAAGAAGCGGAGTGGAACATTAAAAGTATTTTTTAATTACATTAAATTTCTTCCTACATACTGCAAGATCTCGTGTCATTTCTGTGTAACAAATTTATTTCTTTTCTATATTCCACTTTGTTCCTTGGTGTGAATAGTTCAGTAACTATTCTACCTAGTTTTCTGCTTCGTATATCCGTAACAGTTAATGTTAAAACAGAAAAGCTATCATTTTAATATTTCTAAAAGAAACATATCAGCCAACAGTCATTTGAATTTATCACCGATTATTTATGTTTTAAATACCATAGCTTTGTATTGAAATATATTATTTATTAGATATCGAAGATATACATGTATTGAAATAAAATGAAATGAAATGGTGTTTATTTGGTAGATGCTTAAACACAGACACTCACAATTTCAATAAACAAACAAAAAACTTTAAATATTGCAACATTTAAAAAAATATATAGAAGAAATATTTTACCATTTTAGTGTATTAAAAAGTTACGTGCATGTGCTATTGCTATTCAAAACCAATAACTACATACGATTCAATACCACTTACCGTAGCAATGCAATCCACGCAATTAGTATAGTACTCACATCTCATTTGCTCATACCTGCAGAGAAAATATTGTTTTATATTCTAAGTATGCACAAGAAATGAAATCTTATTCATAACTAGTAACAAAGTTATTTTAATATACGAGTAGAAAATTAAGTTATTTAAAAAGTTCCATACTTTATTCAAGTTTTTTATCACAGCTTTTTCTATTAGATAAATTTATAATTAATTTTAACTTATTAAAGTTAACATTCTTCACGGTATTGTTTTGAAATTCATTTTAAATACGAGTATACAAGTTAATTTATTAGAAGAAGTAAATTGTCTTCTTGATTATGATAACAACTGAAATTGAAATTGAAATGTAGGTAAACAAAAGACTTACTATAATAAGAATTTTAACTCGGTTGAGTATTTATTGTTCTTAGCAATACTAATTAATATTTATTTATCTTTATTTAAGTTGAATTTTAAAAGTCCCTTGAATATGGGGGAATGGGGGAATGTTTCCTCTAGAAACCATCTTGATAAAAAAAAAAATCTATGTCATCATGCATAAGAATATCATCCATCCATCTCCAGTGTCACTTAGCGCAAATAGGTGCAGTATTTCATTATCAAGCAAAAAAGAGTAAGTTTGAACCAACTGATTAGTTTCAACAAATTATATCTTTATAATATAAATATAATTAATTTTATTCATCTACTCGTATTTCCACCGCCATTGAATTTTCCAATTGCGTCTTTCGTCTTTGTTTAATTAAGTTGATGGTATTAAGTATTTTTTGATTAGAAACCTTTTTATACAAAAATATACAGTAGAGCAAACATTTTAGTGTTTATTAACATTTATTAAGTATATTTTATATTGACCTAAATTAGGGCAGTCTGTGTAAGTTAGGATAAAATAAATGTATTATATATTTATTTTATCGTAACTTACGCAGGCTCTGTATAGAATACATACTATATCTAGAATACGTTCTAACTGGACTACTTAATTTTGATTAGATTCCATCCAATAGTCTTTATATAAAAAAGTAACAAACAGATCTCCATCCCAGTCTAACAAACTTTCGCTTTAAAAATATTAATGAAATGCTTGCATACTTTATTTATACTTTATTATTCCTGTCCAATTTTGGATATGATTTAGAAAGCAAGTAAAATGAGATCAAATAAAAACTATTATATTATATATTTATATTCAATATCTCAGCGTGTGTGAATAAAATATACAGTATTCAGAAAGAGCATCTTTAAAACGTAGATATAACAAAATTGAATAAGATCACGTGTAGCCGTAGTACGGGTATAGTTGTGCTGATTTTGTAATGGAGTCTTGTACTTATCATGAAATATTTATTCATCATTGCTTTGCCTTTAGCTCATTATTTGGGGACGGCGCAGTATGTCATCCTCTTCCACTGTACCTTATCGGTCACAATTACTGATACTCTCCTTTTATTAGTATCATCTTTCACACAATCCATTCAACTTTTTTTGATCGTCCTCTCCCGTTGTATCTAACCACGTTCATATTATATACTTTCTTTGTTTATTTTTAATTTGATATATGTTAAGTGTTATAACTTTTATTCAAAGTGTATTGCTAATTCTCATTGGCTGAATTTGCATTCTCAATGTATCGCTAAAATATATTATTTATTTTATTTTATTTATTTTTTATTGCACTCTTAAATAATATATTATACCTACTATTATGCTTTCTAGTCTATTACTCTCATATATAATATAAAATTTCATTGATATCGTTAAAGTATCGAGAATTGTATAATACGAGTATGTATAATAACATCGTTTATCTATAAGTGGTATTAGATACTGATTCTGTCATTTCTTTTCAACATTAATATATTTATAAAAGGGGAAGCATCATTTATTCTCTACTCAGCAAAGTCGGAATTAGACGATTTTATTATTTAAGCGTACTTGCTTGTCTGTAAAACATTTACTGGAGGAAAGAACCTCACTTTAATATTAAATGTGGTCTAATGCAACATGGACAAGTGGTGCGCAGTAAGAATTGCATTTTGTTAAATTCTAAATGCACTACTCGTTTTCACGTATAACCAGGTATATATTTATTTATATACTAGCTGTCCAGGTAAACGTTGTTTTGCCTTAAAATAAAAAAAAAATTAGGGGTGGACTACCCCTAACATTTAGGGGTATGAAAAATAGATGTTGGCCGATTCTCAGAACTTCTCAATACGCTACCAAAATTTCATGAGAATCGGTCAAGCCGTTTCGGAGGAGTATGGGAACGAAAACTGTGACACGAGAATTTTATATATAAGTTATATACTCGATTTGATGTCAAGTTTTTTATAATAAAATTTGATAAGGTACAATTTAATAATTTAAAATTGTGTTCCACAAAGATCTTGATTAGTAACGTCCAATATTTGTTCCAAAAAGGAGCAATTATTATAAAATAACAATAAATCTACATAGCTTTAGGTGTAATAT